CAAAAAGCTTTTAAGTCTTAAGTTGCAAGCTTTTTTCGCCCTCCCCTCCCTCTTCTTTCCCCTTCTTCTTACGCTCTACTTTTTTTTCTATTTAATTATCTTTCCTCAACTACGCAATCTTTTTATTATGCTTTCTTCCAAATTATTCTGAAAAAAGCGCAATTTACGGAATCGCAATATTGGAATTATCGTCGCTGTAATAAGAGCTTGCGCTGTTGTTTTATGATTAATACGATTAAAAACGATTTCGTTAAAAAAAAAAAAAAAACGCTTTTAGTAATAGATTAATTGATTTCGATCGCTTTTTTCGAGGGATTATTTATTTGTTTATTTATCTATTTATCTATCTATCTATCTATTTATCTATCTATCCATCTATCCACCGGCATCCCTCACTTTATTAACCTTACAACTGCAATCGCACTATATAAATCAGACTTTAAGCAAAAAGCTCCAAGTCTTAAGTTACAAGCTTAAGGTGTAAGCTTTTTTCCTCCCCCCTTCCTCCTTTTCTTCCTTTCTTTTTATGCTCTACTCTTTTTTCTATTTAACAATCTTTCTTTAACTACGCAACCTTTTCCTTATGCCGTCTCCGAAAACCCATTCTGAAAAAGCGTAATCTACGGAATCGCTAGATCAGAATCATCGGCGCTGCAATAAAAGCTAGCGCTGCTGTTTTATGATTAATATTATAAAAAACGATTTCGTAAAAAAAAAAACGCTTTTCGTAATAGACTATTGATCTCAATCGCTTTTCTCGAGCGATCATCGTTTATCGATCGATCGATAGGAATGGCCGTAAGTGAGGTAAGCAAAGGCAGAGGAAAGCTCGTAATGACGATGGTTATACCAGCCGACTCCTGAGCCTACGGCGGTGAATCTCGTGAATCTCGTGAATCTCGTGAATCTCGTGAATCTCGTGAATCTCGTGAATCTCGTGAATCTCGTGAATTAGTCTTGAATGCACGAAAGATCAAAAGATAGATAGATATCGAAACCAAGAAGTCTCCTATCCTATCGTTGCACAAAGACTGTGCACTTTTTCTTTTTCTTTTTGCTTGTTTTCGATAGTAGAAGCTGAAGGAGTCGTGGAAGCTGAAATAGTAAGGGTATTATTATCAAGTTATCAGCAGCGCGCGCTTTTTTTTTTTTTTTTTTTTTCCTTAATTAGTTTTTTTTTTTTTGAGAGCTTTAGACTGAAGAAAGAGACTTGCAAAAAGGGCCTCCGTGATAGCAAATCTCGAATTTAAAGGGATCGATATAATAGCGTTGTTAATATCGAGTTTATTGCATTAACAAATAATAAGTAGTTGTAATAACGGATTTATTTTTTTCTTTAAGTCTTAAGTTGCAGTTTGCTATTCAATTTGCTACTTGCGAGCCAAACAGGCCTTGATCCGTGCAACTTCTACTATCAAGTTAAGTTGATCCTATTTAAGATCAACTCAACTGCTCAGTTGCACGGACCTGCAACTGCGAGCCAAACACACCCTTACTTACTTCAAAACAAGCTTCTCAATTACAATCATCATCTATGATCTCTAGAAAACAAAGACGGGTCTACGCGCTATTATCCAACCTAGAAGTACAACAACAAGAATAAGCCAGCCATCCCTTGTAAAAAACTCCACCCGCTATGCTAATAGTAATGATCCCCCCCCGAACCAGAGCCATAATAACGTTCCCTACAGCCTCACTCTCCCTTCATCCCGGCCGCCACCGGCGAACCATCTGGTGAGGTCGCTACCACTCCGACTCGGCTCCGCTTCGCCTGCACCATCCCCACCCATCCATTTTGGCCTCTTGATACCATCACCCATTTCCTGAAGCCATTTCGGCGTCTGGACCGTGTCAAAGGTATTTTTAACGCGGTGTCCGAACGCCTCGAAGAAGTTCTCGTCTTCGTGTGAGCTTTCGGATGCTGCGCCGCGTTGCTGCGGGTCTACGCTAGGTCGTGATGCCGATGCCGACGTTGATGCTTGGCCTAGCCGTCTGTGAGGAGGAGGTACCGCGACCTTCGGTGCGACCCTGTTGTTCGGGTTGTTGGGAACGTGGTATCGGTCTGAGGAACTTTGAGCCAAGCGGCCCAAGGAGGAGTGGCCTTGCAGTTCTCGCTCAATCAGATCTTGTCCTTCACGCCAAGAACCAGTACCGTACCCCGTGTCATTTTCTTCGTCGCCATCGTCGATAACTTCACCGTACCCGAAGCACCTCTTCGCTTTTCCGTAAAATTCGAAGAGTGTAGCGCAGACAGGTATCAAAATGAAGGTTGGGAAGAGCCAATCGAACCTCTCTCCTAGCTGGGTGAGCTTGATGAGCTTTCCGAGAAACTGATAAAAGACAGTTTCGCTGTAGATATCCGGAGCCAGGAACGTCAAGAAATTGAAAGCCAGAGGGACAGATAGCTTGGCAACCTGCATAGAATACCACATTGCGCTTTCACCATGGGTATTGCGCTTCACCAAGGCCCGTCCACGCCATACCTTCACTTCGGTTAGCGAAGTGAGTGCCGCCATGCACATATACAAGATCCAACACGCTGCTATGACTTGACCGGCAAATCCTATCTGGCCGCGCTCGCTGGTAGGATGATGGACAACGGTGACAGCGATGATCGATAGCAGAGGGTTAACGGACTTGATGACTTCCGACCAGACGATACAGAAAGATGCCATCGAGAGAAAAACCCCCAAGGCGATTCTCATATACGGAAGCAGAAAGTAGAGGTAGAGATATCGTGTGTACGGTGTCAGAATAGTGAACCGCTCGAGGAATCGAGCATCGGGTGACGCTTGTCCAATTTCTATCTTCTTGGACCCGGCAGAATCGAGAATAGCCTGTGTTTCCACAGCGTCCCTCAGTAAGCCGTCCCACTCGTCTAGATATCTCGCTCGGCTATGCCTGGCTCTATCAAGCTGTCGACTTAGCTCAGCTAGATAACGCTCTGTGATCACATGTGGAACGTTAACTTGAGGTTCGGACATACGCCGAGTCAAAGTATGAGGACGAGATTCGGGGAGGTGCGAGTTGTCAGCCAGCTCTTCGATCCAGTCCTTGAATTTGCTTGCTGAGCCTGTTTTTCTCTGAGCCAGTGCTGCAACTTGCGCTAATCGACAGTCAGCACCGTCTCGTGAATATGTGCAGATCCGTCATGGTGACTGTGAGGAGCAGTCTCAATGGCTTCAAGAGCTGGGTCAATGCCTCCAATCGTCAATATTAATAGCCACGGACCCCAAGAATCCATATTATCCGTTCGGAAACGCCAAGTGACGGTCCAAGGCATCTAGGAAGCTTTCCGTGGCACCACTCCCCGGGACGTCCTGAAAGATGGAGATAGGCGAAATGTACCCACCTTCGCAGTCCTCTAAAAGCCGTATGGCATCCTCCATTTTTTCGTGAACCTTCGCTGCGTTGGCTTGTATCCGTCTAAGCCTTCCACTGATACTGGCATTCCGGAAGAGACGTCTCGGTAATGCAACAAGTCCGTGGCCCATGAGGTAGATTGCCAGCATCAAACCCCAAACGTATGCCAATACCATGACCGTTCCCTTCAAGGAGTTCAGCGAGGCCTGGTAGCTCACAAAGACGTATATCATCCCGATTATGCCGGCTCCCAGGACCAGCGCTTGGTATTGGGCGTTGGCGCGCAGGGAATAGAGGAGGCGTCCTTTCGGGTCTCTATAACCAGCATCGGCGTACTCGGCTAATACCGGGAGGATGAACCCTGAGTTGAAGGAGTAAGTAGGCGGTCGACGGTGAGCGAATGGAGCATACAAGTCAAGGCAAATGTGAGCCAGTACGAGATCCGCCATCCTACGAGAAGTGCTCTGTCCGGCAGCCAGATTCCCCGACTACCTCCGGCATCCTGATTTCTGGCGCTGGAAGCCAAATCAATAGGGACAAGGAGGATGATACTGGCAGGAAGGCTCAGGGCAAAGAATATCGGTACGAGTAGATATGCGGGCGTTGTTCGGAGAGGAAGGTAATGTCTCAAGAGAAGCAGGACTCCGAGACTGATTACCAGCAGGGCGGTTACGGTGAAGATTAGCGAGCCCACCGGCGATGGGTCATTTGCAGACATCATGAAGGAGGTAATTTCAGATCCATCGACTTCCAGCATCTGGTGTTTCTGATGTTCGTGATTGAATTCGGGTGCAGCGACGGGTAGGTGGGCATAGGAGCGGGTCAGGTATGTAAGGCTACGAGTTCTTTGAGTTACGGTTCGGGCCGAGAAATAGCCGAAGCCTTTTCCGATCCGGCGCGTTCGGTCCTGTGGCTATTTATATTTCGCGTCGCGGTATTCCATCTGGCGATGCATCCAAGCACCGCAACAAGAGTGCGCTCACAATAGCTCCAGCCAAGCATAAGCATCTGTTTCCTCCAGGGCAGCAAATGGTGCATCATCAGGACTTCACGCCATATGGCATTGCAGGTGAGGCTGGCATGAGTGATCCAGCTCAAGCTGGCACAGCAACATGTCTCTCAGACAATAATGACTTGGGTTCCCTCTTCGAGGATTCCCAAGATGAGCAAGCTTACCCCATTTCAGAGCAAGGACTCGCTAATACCGACGGGCCCGAAGACCGTGAGAGCCAAGCTAAATATGCTTACCCTTCACTTGAGCAGGCGCGTGCCATCCAGGGCTACTCCAATGATAAATTTTGGCATGGTAATGATGCAACAGCTCCAGCTCCAGCTCCAGCTCCAGGACATGCTGCGAGTGGGATGGGCTTCATCCAGTCTGCTTACGAAAACTTCCAGCAGCCCTTCGTTCCCGACTCGTACCAGAAGCGCAAACGTGTGGGTGAAGATAATGGAGATAATCGCGAGCTGGAACATTCAGCGTCGCCTTTGCTCAAATGCCGTAAGACCAAGCCTTCACCAGAAGAGGACCAGCTGGCTCGAGAGAGTGAGATGTGGGCGCCTGGAGAGGTCGCGAAGGAAGACAAGCCACGCACAACAGGGGCCATTGCCGATGCGAGAGAACTTGGCACTCACTTAGCTGCTCCCCGATCCGAACTTCCGACCAAGCGCTCCCATCACAAGAGGTACCCGCGTAAGTATCAGTCTTTCCTCCTATCTGAAGACGAGAAACTCGCACTAACGCATCTCAGATGTATCAAGGTCAGCAATATGCGCCTCTCTAGAGCTGACTACCGAGGCCTTTGGGCTCCTACAAGCTGGTGCGAAAGCATTCATGCTAGATCCCAAATTTCCCAAACGAAGTGCTTGCGTAGGAACCCGCGGAAAGAATGAGACCGAACGTACCGGGTTGGACCTTTTGACAGTTGTTGATGAATTTTTGGACGACGAGGGATGGGGCGAGAGATTGTTTTCAGAAGGATCCATAGGAGAAGAAGGCGAGGCAAGAAAGCTCACATGGCCCAAGATGAAGATGAAGTGAGTTGCATGCACGCAAGATTCAAGAACTGCCCACTGATGATTTCCATACAGACTCCGCTCACTGGTAATACCTGTGGTGCGCGTTGCGGTCTCTAATGAGAAGGCAAGACTCTATGGCATAGAGAGTAGGCGCAAACAGCGAACTTCAGTGACTTCGGCAGAAGTTACCCCACAGCCAGACCGTGCCAGACTTGAAAGCGTTACTCCAGCACCCACTCGAAATGGCGCTGACGTGAAACTCGATGACAACCATTCGACAGTCGATGCCAAAGGATACGAGCTTCCGCATTCGTTCGCTGTCGGAAGTCCAGCATCAAGCAATGGTACCCATATCCGATATCTTGTGAACCTCATGCAACATGGTCACCGGCTCGTGCCAGAGATCACACCGGCGCCAAACACTTGTCTAGGGTTTCCTAGCTTGGTTGAGTACATAAACCGCTTGATGGACACCGCAAGCAAAGAGGTGAGCAGCATCGATTTTCTGGTCCCAACGGGCATGGTGAACGTGAAGAACGAGGAAGACTGGAAGGGTGCTATCGCTTCGATTGAGCAGACGGAGTGGATGAATGGAGAGGTGAAGTGCGTGGTCGTGGTGATCGATAAGGAACAGTGATTACTGAAACCTTGGAGAATTCGGTCCACACTGGTAGCTAACAGGCTGGCATCGGCAAGGCGCTAATGTTGGCACCATGGGTATTGTCATAACCAAGTGCTGGAAATGGCGAGAGCCTGGTACCTGTATCCAATAAGGGTTGTCAGTAGAAGATCGAATTGAACATGGATGTAGAATCCTGTCAGTATAGTAGATAGATAATTGTTCATGGGAGGGATACGCCGGACTCACTACCACTTCTCACACAAACTATTCTCCCGACGGTCTGGGGGACTTACGCTCAGAGCACCAGGACTCGAAGTCTGGCTGCTCTCAGATCGAGCGTCATCCGACCTTCTTCAAAACCCCGATAACGAGCCATCGTTTCCTCTCCGTCACATCCTCAATCCCCCTATCCTCAACCCACTCTCTCTCATGCCCCTCCGCATTCCTCTCCCAAATCCTCTCAATCTCCAAGCCGGCTTCCTTCAATACCACGCCGTCATAGAACCCTCTCATCTTCTCCCTCCCCGTATGAAACCCGGCAACAACCCACGCCCTACCGTTCGCCTTCAGAAACCAAGCTATACTCTTCAACAGATTCGAGTGTTGCCACGGCATCCACAGGCAGTCCGCCACCAGCACAACTCCAAATCCCCCCTTGTTTTCCATGGAAAACTTGTCCTCAAGGACTCCCCACTCATGGCCCTGAACCTCCACCTTCGCTACCCCGCCCGCAGACTTCGTCCTCCTCGGCGCCACGTTACGGTCCACATTCGCCTGGATATTCTTGAGGACCTCGTCGGCAGGATAATCACTGATGACGACCTCCTCGGCCCCTTCCAACGTCGCCACGATTCCCGCCAATCCTGTCCCGGCACCAAGTTCAAGGACTCGTTCACCCCGCACACTCCACTGCTCGACTTCCTCGCCCTGCCGCAGTCTTCCCTCTTCGATAAACTCCGCCAGCTGCACGCTCGCGTTCCACAGGAAATGACTGAATAACTTCCTAGAGTCTTCACCTTGGGGGTCGGCGAGGGAGAGTTCGAAGGAGCCGTGCGAGGGCGAGAGGTAGATGACGGAGGAGTAGGCGTCACCGTGTTGATTCATGATGTCGTCTGGGAAGATGACGGCGAGGGAAGAGCAGAGGTAGTCTTCGGGCTCTTGGGACTCGGGGCCCGACAGTCGGATCTTGTCGGTGAGCATGGTGATGGAAGGTTTTGTATCGCGTTGCGTGATGAAGATAGGTCGAGGTTCACGGGCGGAAGGGTGGAGGAGGGGTGGAGGGGTGGAGGGGTGGAGGGATGGAGGGGTATTTCTGGGAAAATTGTGAATTTGCCGGTCGACACCGATGTCCGAAGTCTACCCGGACTGCAAGAGGGCTAGCCTTAACCTTAGCCTTAGCCTCGGCTGTTCAGAGAGTGATGGTCAATGCGCTACAAGAAGCAGATTATTCACTTGGATGTTCCAGTTGAAATTCTTGGAGTGAAGTTCGCAAATATATATACTCCGTACATATCTATGTATTCCATTCAAGTGAACACTTCCCCGTCGGTCTTTAAGCGACTGAGGTCCATCAACAGTCTTTTCATGATATGCGGTGCTTCGCATGAACTCTATACAGTACAGTACGGTAAAGAGAGGAAAGTATCAAGCCAGCTATCAACAGTCGATCCCGTCTTGGTCTCGTACAAACACCCAATAGAGTTCCCTGTCCCTCCCCGTTATACGGCGCTCCCAGCCTCTTATTGTCTATCGTACGGATACAAGCAGTTTATAGCGGGGCTGGGCGGGCTTACTTTCATGCCGGGTACCTAGCTGTTGCATAGGACAAGGCCTACACCGAGTAGTAGTCTCAATTTGCTGCCTATTCTTCTCGTGAAGACCAATATGAATCTTCTACCTTTTTTCCTTTCCTTCATCTGTCAATTGTTGGCATCTGAATACGCCTTGTTTCCGGTTCGTTGCGAGAGCGATAGAAAAATTGGCCGAGGAGGACGAGGACGAGGACGAGGACGAGGACGACGGCGCAAGCATGGACGATTACATGTTCAAGGCAAATGTAGACCGGTGTAAAAATGTCGTGGAGGCGACGACCTACCTGGAGATCTTCTCGTACTCGGTGAGTGCCCAATGGAAGAAGTACAAGTACACGAAGAAGTACAGGAAGAAGAAGTGCTGCTCAAAATCTGATGAGCCTGCAGGATCCGAAACTCAACAGCGTAGAGGAACATCCGTTGACACCAGATGAATTCGAAAACTATCTTCATCGCAGGGTACGTAGGATACGCTGGTGAGCGATAAAGTGGATAGAAAAGCCTGCTGAGTCGATCTGTAGGGCGCATTTACCCCCCCGAAGCTGCCACCTGGGGTGGTTCAGTTGGCGGGTATGCGATTGGTGTGAGTTCTGAAGATTTGATGGCCGTCAACTCCAGATGGAGAATCCGGGGATGGCACCAGATGAGGACGTGAAGCTGACTTGCCAAAAGTCTACAGCAGAACGCCCAACACCCCGAAACCTTCACACCACACGTCATCAGTCTGAAGCGCGAAGTCTATAAATCCATGGTCGAGACGCTGAAATTGCCGTACCGAGCGATCGAAAGCACCAGTGCCGTTGGTCCGTTCTTCTGGGCCTCGTGGGATCAGGACGAGGAGAATCCCCATCTCCGTATCATCCCTCCCCTTCACATATCCTTCACATCTCTAAACAAAAGTAGAAATCATCTACCGCAAGAGCGACGTGCGCAAGAAAGGGTACACTCGTGGCTGGGAGCTCATGCTCTCACACGACGTAAACAACGGTATCACAACTGGCTTCTGCAAAGGTACCCCTAGCTCTGACATTGTGGAATGCATAAAACACCTGAAAGAATGCGTGCTCCAAGTCGGACATCCCATGCTCCTCCCCATCATCATATTCTCGCACGATGTATCGTCCAAGACCGACATCAAGCAGCGGGATGCGAGGGACTGGCTTCGGAGATTGGAACATGCTGTGAGCATGCGAAGCGAGATCGAGGAGCGGGAGGGCTACGTGAACGAAGGGGTTGTGGATCTAGACGCTGTCAATAGGGATTTAGTAGAGTGCCATAGCCAGGTCCTGTGGAAGCGACCTAAGGCATACCTGGAGATCCTCGGCGGAATCGAAGTCGCAATGGCTAAATTCTACGAGGCGCTACCGGAGCCCAGGAAGGAGAAATCCATGAAAGGACTCCAAGCCAGCATGCTCGCCCGCATGGATTTCTACAGAGTCAAGCTGCAGGGTATCGACAGCTACGCGCATACGACTTTGCAACGGCTAGAGATCCAGAGGAGTGCTGTAAGCTTCTCCATCGCCAATATTAAATGTTCCCCCCCTTCTTTCCGTCAGCGGGAGAGAAGTAGTAGTGCTCGCTAACCGAGAAAAACAAACAATCAAAACAGCTCTACAACATAATCGCCCAGAAGGAATCCAAACTCAACTTCAAAATGGCCGGCGAGCAGCGCAAGCTCGCGCACTCCTCCAAGCGCGACTCCGCCGCCATGAAGACCATCTCCCTGCTCGGCGCCGTCTTCCTGCCCGGCGCCTACCTCGCCTCCGTCTTCAGCATGACCTTCTTCGACTTCCAGACCGACGCCAACCGCGGCAAGATGGTCGCCGACCAGTTCTGGATCTACTGGGCCGTGACGGTGCCCCTGACCGCCATCATCGTCGGCTTCTGGTACGTGTGGGAGAAGAAGAGGGAGGCGAGGTATGATCGCGAGGATCTGGATCTGGAGAAGGGCAGTGAGGATATGGAGAGGACCATCATGGCCATGATGCGGAAACGGACGATGAGTAAAGCTAGCACGTGGGATACGGGGAATAAGAAGCGTGAGTGAGAAGGGGGGGCGGGGTGCGGTTGCTGAAGAGGAGTGTGGATGGGTTACGATGGATGGGTTACGATTATATGATTCTAGATGATAACGATTCAACCATGACGACTTATGATATATATCATCACGACTTTGACCACAGAAGAGGAGGATTATAAAGATCTGATTCAGGACAATTTGAAGACTGAAAATACTTGAGGATTCGGCGTGCCGCCTAGGACCAGATCCATTTGGTTCTTGCTAATGCTGTATCTCACAGGTTGCAACTTCGTGTTGAATTTGTACCCATTTCGTCTTCAGCCCCTTTCCCACCTGATTTGAACCGACGCCCGACCACCCAAATTCCCAACCCTCCGATTACCCGAATACCCGATCACCCAATCATTACAGATCCATATCCTAATCATCACTCCTCGCTTTCCCTCTCCGAGTTCCCATCTGTAGTCGCACCCCCCGCCACACCGGCCACAAACTCCTGATACTTAAACACCTCTCCTCTCTTTCCCATCCCAGCAGCGTGTTTCCCAAACGCCCTCCTCCCAGTAAATCCACTCATAACCCTATCAATTCCCCTCTCGGTCAACGGAATCTCTCCTGGATCAGGGGCCGTATGAAGCAATGCATCCCTCAACTCCGCCAAATCGACTTGTCCGCTATCATCCTCATCGAACGCCGAAAATGCCGACAGGAGTTCCGCTGGTGGACTGAGCGCCGTGAGCTGTATGGCGATAGAATTGAGGAACGTTGGGAGAGCGACCGTCTGCGATGAACCGTGTGGAAAGAAAGCCGCAATTTGAGAAGCGTTTGCCGACATGCCTGTAACGGCAGTATTAGCCCCAAAAAAGAAAGTATAAAAAAAGGCGTGACGTCTCCAAGGAGAGGAAGGGGTATATATAGTACGCACCCAGCTGCGTCAACATATCCACGACATCCTCCCGTCCCACCAGCCCATCACTGTCCCTATCCAACACCTGAAATCCCTCCCTCAGCTCCCTCACCTGCGCCGGCTGCAACCTCGACAACGCATTGTTGTTGTCCGCACTCCTCGTCGCCGTCAGCATCCCTCCGAATCCCGGACTGGCCACGCCTGAGCCCCTCGTCGGCGACGCTTCCATCTCGCGCTGGGGAGGCGGCGCGGGACCACGCGGCGTCCATGTCCCGGCCTCTGAGCCTGCGGTGGGCGTCGAGGCACGGGCGAGTCGTGAAGGGGTGGTGACCGTCGTCGCGGTGGCCATCTTTGTGGGAGATGGATTGGGTGTTGACTGGCGGAGGGGAGAGGGCGGGTTGCTGTCGGGGCGGCGGAATGGAGAGGATCGCGGGGAGCCGTAGCTCAGCGGGGAGGGTTTGTATGCGGTAGCCATGTTTGTTGTTGGCGTGCTTTAGTTCACGAGGAACTCGCGATGCAGTGCGGAAGCAGAAGACAGGTTCGGACCTTGCTCTGTTGTGTGTGCAGGTACCCAGCGCAGTTCAGGCCCTAAGTTTCCGAGCCGTGAATGGAAGAGTAAATGTATACAAGTTCGGGAGCTGATGTGGTTGGTGGTGTGTAGATATTAGAATGTTTGTTTCTGAAGAGGTCTACATAGGGGTTTGCGAAAATGTTGATGTCGGTTGATGTCCAGGGCGACTTTCGGAAAGTAAACAAACAAATAGATTTTTTAGTAATCACAACCCCACGAACCCGGCCGAGCGGGCCACGCTCCAGGCCCATCTTGGAAAGTTAGCCGATTGTTTCACAAGACATTGTGAAGTAATTCTCAATCGCTACCTCAACGGAGCATTATTGCTGTATCATTTCCAGGGACTGCAAAATATACAATTCCCATCGCCAGAGCTGAGCTGTAAGTACATGCGCAAAAAAAAGCTCACAATATAATCATACAGTATAAGTAGGTACGGAGCGAAATTAAGTGTCCGACGGCGATAATGGCCTCGGTTGGCTTTTAGTTTTCAGGGGTAGACAGACGGATGCCTTCTCCGTATGCGAGTCTCGTACTGGATGGACAGACCCCTATTTTCGACTCTACTCTATTCTAATCTGCATTTTTGAGCTCTGCAGTGTCACGCTCGTCTGGTCTCATCTTGCATATTCGCCTCTGCATGTAATAATCAATTCCTGTACTTACGACCGATCCAAAGCAGCAACCATCCAACATCCACCATCCACACTCGGCGAACCCAACTCAGATTCCAGTTCCCGAGTGCGAATGAATTGATCGTCGATTTCCCTGACCGCCTACCACCTCACCTACCGCTCCCTACAACTACGTTGCTTCTCGTTCCTCGTTTGGATGCATACTGGTGTGCCGCAATCTTGTCAGAGCCCAGAAGTGCCAGAAGTGGAGCCCGTCGCAGATATTCCCTAGACCGAGTTGGGGACGGCAGGGACATTAAGGACGTTAGGGAACGGAGGATCGCCGATGATCACTTTCACCAGTCCCGTCTACCAGAAGGAGAACGACCTTCACCATCTCCGAACAGCCATGCCCCCTCCCAGTACCAGAGCCGTTGACCCGCGAGACTCCAATGGTAGCAATGGCACCGGAGCCCGACGTGAATCGCTCTCCTCTTTCCCCTCCTCAAGATCTCCCAGCGCCATGTCCCGGCATTCGAGGCCGTCGAGGTCCCCGCACCCGGGAATGAATGAAACCGATCGTACGTCGAATCCGAGCTCGAATTCGAAAACCCCCTCAAGCGGTGTGTCTTCTCAGCACTCGTCCATGTCGGCTCCGAAGCGGTATAATTCAGAGGCCCATCCGAGGAGGAAACTCAGATCCCAGTATCCTCGCGGGGAGACTGAGAACCATGTAGAATATATTCTGGTGGCCTCCTTTGATATTGACAAGGGGCCCATAATGGAGCATCAGTATCCAGTCGCCATCACCGGGGACGAGAATATGCTGGCGGAATTGATGTTGCCAGACCAGGCACATGTACGGAACCAGGACTGGACAATGTTCTTCCTGCACAAAGACACTAGCCAGGAGGAGGAGGAAGCGGAATTGAAGGAAGAGAGAAAGAGAAGGCGACAGCGGCGGAAAGATAGGGCCGCTGGCTTACTAGACCCGGACGATGTTGAGTCTGGGGATGAGATCAATGGGGATTGGTACAGTGATGATTCGGACGAAACCGAACCAGAGGGGGGCGAGGGACCACCTCTGATATACGTTTTGAACCTGGTCAATACGAAGCAGGACAAGACTGCTAAAAGAGGTGCAGTGGTAAAGGCTATGGCGATTTGCACGCGACATCCTTTCCTGCATATTTACAAGGTCAGTGCTGCCTGGCTCGTTGTGTTCTCTTTTCTAATGGACGAGTAGCCATTATTATTGTTAGCCCTGGAAGAATACTTCAAAACACCGTTCCCGGCGACGCTGGCGTTGCTATACGAAGCAGTAAATACCATGGATTTATCACTCATGCCAAAACTAAGTCTTCTGGAGCGACATCTACTCCAGGCAAGCGACAACAAAGATCTATTCGTTGAGAAATTTGAACAAATGATACAAATGAGAATGGCAGAGGACAGAGGAGAAGTCCTCCGCAACCCAGCTACACTGTCTGAAAGTCCCGGAATGCGGATGGACCTTACTCGCAACGGCACCAAAGCGCATGTGGTCGCGAACTCGATGTACTCGGTACCTCGAGATACCCACGAGTTCGAGACGAGAGTAATGTATAATGGAATTCCGATACCAATTAAAGTTCCGGTTGCAGTGTCACCAGAGACCGTTGGCGACTTCTCCCTCATCAAACTTATCCAAACATTTGGTGATCCTCATGCAAAGTCACCTCAACCGTTCGCACTGCATCCGCATTTGACGACAAGCGGTGCATATACTCACCCGATTATCGTCTTGGCAAACGCCATGCTGACCCAAAAGCGAGTGATATTCCTCGGACACAATCGTCCGTCTGGGGAAGTGGCTGAAGCTGTTCTTGCCGCCTGTGCGTTGGCTTCAGGAGGTATCCTGCGTGGTTTTACTCGTCATGCCTTCCCTTATACGGACTTGAGTAAGATTGACGACCTTTTAAAAGTCCCTGGCTTCATCGCTGGAGTCACGAATCCGACTTTCGAGAATCATCCTGAATGGTGGGATTTGTTATGCGACTTGCCGACAGGTCGTATGAAGATAAGCAACAGAATCGAGAGTGCACCCCTGACGGAAGGCCTCTCCAACTTCCAGGCGCAGAATCCCGGCTACGCGAACCTGGTGAGTCTTACGTCTTCGGCCAGTGCAGCCACGGACTCGACTGGCGATGTAGCTTTCATAGGCGATGTTCTTCGCAGCATAGCTGCGCGGCATGGGGAAGGAGTGATTCGTGCAAAGTGGCGTCATTGGATTGAGAAGTTTACTCGTATCTCGGCAGCGTTTGAGGAGACCGTATATGGTGCCAGTGGTCTGTACATAGGCGTGGAGGAGGCCGAGCCTGGCAATGAAAATGTCTCGGGCCACGGATATGTCTGGCCCGACGAGGCTACGAAGTTGAAGGAGCTAGCTGGTGGGGTGCATCGCATTGAAGGCTGGAGGAACACCCGAAGCTACTTCAGCTTCAAGCAGGTAAGAGAGGTTCCATTCTCTTGGACATGAGCGAAGCTGACGAGTACCAGGACGTCGGCCAACTCTACAACTTCAGGCCTCTCAAAGCACTTGACCTACATCATCTGCACGACCGGTTGCGAATGACGAAGCTCACACCCAGCTCAAGTCGCGACATCTACCTAGCACTTTCCAAATACACCCATTCGTACGACGAGATCTGCCAGCTGCTAACAGTAGCCCCTGAATCTCACGCGGGCCTTTTCTACGTCGCGCTAGGACTCTTCCACAAGGACAGAGACGTGAGATTGAAGGTCGTCGACCTCTTGGAGAGGATCAGCGACCACGAAGCAGGCAGGCATTGGTGGAAAGCACTTAGCCGATTCGAGAAGCTGGCATACTATCGCATACGGAGAGAAGAAGAAGCCGAAATGCGCAGCAAGATGGGCGGCGATATTGCGGATGTGTTCCAGACACTCTCCAATGGACATCAGCCGACGATGCTGTTGGAGAAACGAGCAAGTTAGGTAGGTTAGTGGAGCTACGGATGAGATAGTCACGAATTATGAGGCGATGAGCCCCTCTTGATGTTGCTGTGCGACAAGCAAAGGCATTTACGAAGATACCAATAGCGTTGCACGGGAGAGGGATGAACTGTTGTATGTTCATGGTTCGTTCCAGTCAGTCTATAGCTTTTGCCTCGCAGCCGAGTTGCTTCTATCAACATGAGCTGAGTTACCAGGAAATAGCAGAGAAGTCGTTGGGCCTACTAGGCAAGAAGAAATTTTGCAGCATAGTTGACGTGATCCGCCGCAAACGTCGAGATGAAAAAGTACGAGTGGTCATAGCCCTATTCCTATGTCAGCCTCGCTTCTCGCTTCCCGCTTCCCCTTTTCCAGACAAAACCAAACCCTTCCCCCCCCCCAAAAAAGGCAAAACAAAGCAAAGCAAGCGACCAAGTAAAGTGGGCAAAGAAAAAAAACTTACATCCTGATATCTAACTTCCAGCTTCTTACTCTTGGCCGCCTCGACCAAATTCTCCGGCAGCAACTGCTTCTGCTTATAAAAGTTATCACCCGTCCCGACATCGACCAGCGCCTCGAACTCCCCGCCCTTCCACCCCTTCACCAGCTCCGTAGCATCATGCCTCTTCCACAGCTCGCGATCCTCGCCCAGGTAGCCGGCGAAGGCCTTCTCGCCCCACGGGCAGCGGGTCGGGTTCGCGATGGGCGCGAAGGCGCTCACGCTCTTGTAGCGGCCGGGGTTCTTGAGGAAGAGGGTCAGCGCGCCGTGGCCGCCCATGCTGTGGCCCGTGAGGGACACGCGGTCGGCGTCGAGGGCGGGGAAGGCGGCGAAGAGGGCGGCGGGGAGCTCGCGGGTGATGTAGGATTCCATTTTGTAGTTGGTGGAGTAGAGGGGGGTTGTGGCGTCGATGTAGAAGCCGGCGCCGGTGCCGAAGTCGTAGGCGTCGTTTTCGCCTTGGATGTTGAGACCGCCTGGTTCGCCCCGGTTGAGGTAAGTTAGAGAAGCTTTACTTTGCAAGCGTTTTCTTGGGTTTTCTTGGGTTGTGTGTGTGTGTGTGCATGTGATGCTTGAACTTGGGGTTTTGATTGAGGTTGTTTGGGGAAGGGAGGGAGAGAGGGAGAGAGGGAGAGGGATTGACGACGTACGGGGAGAGGTGTCTGGGTAGACGATGGCTATTCCCTTTTGAGAGGCTGCGGATTGGAAGAAGCCTTTCTCGGCGCAGTTGTCGCCTGTGCAGGTCAGGCCGGAGAGATAGAAGAGGACGGGAACTTTGGCTGAGGAGCTGGCCGAGGGGGGGAGGTAGAGGTTCAGTGCCATCTCGCAGCCGGTGGAGGCATCGTGGGTGAGCTTCAAAAGCTTGCCGCCGAAGGAGGCGATCGTTGCCGTTGTTTTGAAAGACATTCTGAGAATCCAATTGCGCTTTTTTTGAAAGTTGATCAGAGAGAAATGGGGGGAGGGGCGGGGGGCGGGGGGAAAGGAGGAGTTTTGAGTTGAAGAAGTCTGAACAGTGTTGTCAACGATGTTTCCAGGCAATGAGGGGTCGGCGGGGCAGAGCTCGGCATTCTGCTCCCCTCAACGGAGATAAATCGGTATTAACAGCTCGGGAACTCTTCTTCGTCGGATCGATCGAAATCCTGGGAAGATAGTGTACTCGAAATTAAGTGACATTATCAGGCCTCTGCTATCCGAATAGGCTCCTCCGCATACCTCCCTGAACGCCGATTTTCTGCGCCATACCCAGCACCTTGCAATGCGAATGTCTCAAATACCAAGCCTCCACCCCCCCAGCAAAAGCAGTCTATTGAAGAAGCTCTTCACAAGTCCAATCCTCGTACCTATTCAAAAGTCAAAAACCTGCACTTGGATCAGGATCTCGAAGCTACTCACATTCCATCGGGCATGTATCTTCGCACGATCAAAGGGATCTTCTTCTCTCTTAGCTCTTTGATAGCAATCTGCAACGGATCCGTCTCTCCTTCCAAGTCCACCAGAACCGGCGCATTCATACTTTTGACACCACCCTGTCAGCAAGCTACCACAAAAGCCCTGCCTTATGTGCCATGTGTGAAAACCAACCTAATCTGCAGTGCGCGGGTCCCCAGAATGCGCGCTCTCTCGTACTTGGTCATGTACGGGGTAGTCGTTCGCTTGTCGTGAGGGATCTTCTTGTCTTTTGGTGCCTTGTCCCGCGCCGTCTTGTTTGCCCTAGCTGATGGATCGCCCGACTCTACAATATCTCGGCCGTGCTCACCGGTCGCGAGAAGCTGGTCTGGGTTGTTGCTGACTTCGACATCGTCCACCGCGCCGTTGGTCTCAACATCTTGATCGTAGAAGGTAGGCTCCTCGGGATCGAAATCGGGCTCGTCATTTCCGTAGGCTGGGGAGTATCTGGGAAATTGTTAACGCGATGCTTCTTTGAAGAGTTTGCGCCCGTTCGAGCTGGATTGAGGTCGCGCTGCATACCCGCCACCATCGCCCATATCTCCATCGTCCGACATGATCAATGTTAGAGTCTCAAAGTATCTAAGGAGTTTACGGTTGGGTCAGCAAAAGGAATGTTGTGCGTGGAGATGTCGTCGTGGATTCGGGCCTGTCGAAATTGTTTGGATGCGCCTCAACTTTTAGGAAATATTTAAGGTTTAGCGCGCCAAGATTCCGATTTCAAGATCGGCTATGAAGAATACCTAGGTACGGACAGCTCTTTTTCATGCTCGACAATTTCCTAGTAGGAGTGACCACGACGTCGCTCTTGCAATGGCCACCATTCTGGGGAAGCGGAAGGCCGTTGCTGGTCTGGGGAACCCTACGAAGAAACAAAAAGGCGCGCAGCTTTCTTCATTACCTGGTGGGCAATTCCGCACATCATCAAATTTCGTTTTATCTGATAGTCGTACAGTAGAGCAATCACTGGACTCTGACGATGAGGCGGAGGACTACCAACCAGAAAACGACGAATTTTCCGACGGTGAAAAAAATGTCAATACGCCAATCACTCCGTTTTCTCCTGGACGCAAGAAATTTCCATCGGAATTAAAGACGATCAGATGCACCCACGAGGGCTGTCCCAAAGTTTTTAACAGACCATCTCGATTAACGGCACATTTGAGAACACACACCAACGACCGACCTCATATTTGTACATTCGAAGGTTGCGACAAAGCGTATTTCGAGGCAAAGCATCTCCAGCAACATATCAGAGGATCACACACGAAAGAACGGGAGTTTCAGTGCGATTGGGAGGGATGTAACAAGAGCTTCTTGACGTCGACCCGCCTGAATAGACATAAGACTACACATAGTGGTCAGAATGTGTACCGCTGTACTGGCTACTCACCTTGCAACGACCCTTTTCGCAAACACCAGACTCTCCAACGCCACATCCGCTCAGCACATCTCAACCTGCCACCGTACCCTTGCACACATGTCGATCCAGTGACTGGCCAAGTCTGTGATGCTGCATTTGATGGTGGAACAGGTCTTCGGCAACACGTGAACCGGATCCACTCGCCTGTTCGAATTCAATGTCTTCAGTGCGATTCTCCCGGCTTCAAAAGCGATAGGGAACTTCAAGCTCACATCCGGAAAGAGCACGCAGATTGCCCGTTTTGTGACATCAAATGTTCAAGCCAGCGCGAGCTGCAGAAGCATATAGAGATCCATCATTCTGGCATCTCACTCGAGCAAAGAAAGAACGTTCCATGCACGTTTCCGGGTTGCAATAAGCGATTCACCAAGCAAAATAACTTGAACACTCATATGCGAACGGCCCACAACGGAGAGCGATTCATTTGTGGTACATTTGACCTGAGCTCCTATCCTGACATGGGAGAGTTTGATGACGACGATGGATGTGGAATGGACTTCGTCTCGAAAATCAGTCTCGTGGACCACGTACGTACCGCGCACCTAGGCCTCAAGGGCATTGCGAATGCTAGCCGCAAGGCGAACAAATATGGCGGCATCGAAGAAGATGGACAATTAGAGGAAGATGTTGAAGAAGAGGGCCAGCTGGGTCTTAGTGAGGAAGAGTACGTACCAAAGAGAAAGTCCAAGCGAAACAAGAGAGCGAAACCACCGGTCATTGTTGAACCACCTGTCCACGATCCGAGGAGAATCATTCCGTGCCTTTCAGCTAGCTGCCGACACATGTTCATCCGAAAACATGATCTTCAGGTTCATATGCGTACGGCTCACCCTACCCCGCTTCCCGGAATGGATTTTGACGGCCAATTCATGTTTGCGGATGATCCAGAAATGCCAAATTTTCAATCTGGAATGGGCGGTTTTGATCAGGGACCGGGCCCGCAAATCGGTATAGCAGGATTTGATCAGATGGCGGTTCCACAGACTATCCTAGGGCCGTCAGGAGATGGCCAGAACGATTTGGACTGGGATCTTCAGCGTCAAGCATTGGAAGGTGGTCAGTTCTGGGTGGGTGCCGATCCGGGACTCGGTACTCTTGACGATGAGTGGAATCGGGACGAGTCGGAGATGCGGAGGCTGATTGGAGAGAACTGAAGCCGATTTTCAAGTTGTTCCAGGGACTCCAGCGGACTGGTGATTTGCAGATGAAGGGCTTATTGATGAAGTAGCTCCGACCAATTTCTTTTGAGATGGAGCTGGGTACGGATGTGCTGCACGGCTCAGCATTGCATTTTTTATTTTTTATTTTTTTTTGAGAGAGAGATACCCTGTCTGTTGCACAAATCATAACGAAGGAATGAAAGCTCTGACGTGTTGATGTGATCTGATCTGTAACGTTTATATGGAATGGTTGATCTGTTTGACTGGTCACTATCAGAATACTACCTATCCTCAACGTCCTGAGTAAGCATGAAGCACCAAATACCAGATATGCCCAGTACGCATTACCTGTAGTCAAGGCTTTGATGTACCTGCTCATTGTAGGTAGATACTGATGATAAGCTGTTTATGAACAGTTAGGTAGGTATGCACTGATATTCAATTTTTCTAGATACCTAAGGCCGGCTAAATATGAGTATGTATATGTACTTCGTATACCGGTATAAGATTCTATTTTTCGAAAGTCTTGACGAACATTGATATATGGGATCTTCGCTGCCTTCCGGCCATCTGGTCCCTGTTGAATTGGCGTCATGCGGGAAGCAGGGATAAGGGATGAAGGGATCACCCGACGCGATTAGAGCTAGAGATAGATAGAGATAGCTTGCCTTTCTTGAACGCGACTTGAACCTTTTCTCAACCACAACCTCAACCACATCCCCGACCCCGACCCCGACCTCTCTCTTGGGATACTTGGGATTCCTTCAAAACTTCTTCAGCTGTAACAAGCACACATTCGCGGAGTCTCTTCTCATATCCAAGGTTGGCGTCCCATTTACACACAGCTCCGCTTTTGCTCACCTCACTCGAACAGTCAAGAACGCGCCTGCCACCTCTGCTCGAAGAAGGCTCATATCACCTCGGGACACGACAATATAAGCTTGGCTTACCTTCGCCATGGCATCTGCAACACCTGCGAGGCGCGTCTTGGGCGACCTCAATGCGAACACGCCCCTCAAAAGCCGAGCAGGCGGCTCGTCGCAATCTGGGTCAGCAAAGGCTTCCAACAGTCCTACGAAGCCGCGTATTATGGGAGAGACATCGATATCATCATCACATACTCAAACTACGATGCTCGAAGCGACTGGTGAAGAAGCTCAGGTATTGGGCATTAAGAGGAGCCGTGACGATGCGAATGATGAGGATGAAAGCTCAGCACCCCTCGTGGGCACAGGGGGAAGGGCCGTATCCAAGAGGCATAAGGTATCCCATAGCTCAAACCTTGGTACTCCAGCACATACATCGGTGGACATTCTCTGCGGTGCTGTTCGAGGAGTTCCTCAATGGTCTCCAGTCGCCGGTCAGGAAGTACGTCTACATCTATCTTTTCGGTCAAGCATGTGCTCATTGTAATCCAGGAAGTTGTGGGACGTTATGAGGATGATCTATCGGGACCACCCTCTCCTGAGAGCGTGGCGTCACCTGCCTCTTCCTTTAGAAGTCAGGATAACGAAATGAACGATTCGCAGAACACCACCATCACCATCCCCGACGACGACCTTCTCCCTCCCCGTGCCTTACCCCTTAGCCACGAACAACTCCGTCAGGTATATACCCTCCCCGTCATTCTGCGAAGAAGAGTGAAACCTGACATATACCAGAAAGCCAAAGAAATTAAGCTCCGCCTCAGGCTCGCCAGCTATAAAGTCCGCACAAATCAAATCGACATCCCCATCTCGCGTCTCGAAGTACGCTCTTCAGGCGCGTCAATTTCAACAACATCCAAAGCCCCATCATCTGCTATCACCCAACCAACAAAACCTTCCTCCCAAAGCCAACCAGTATCTCGACCCTCCACCGCACCCACCGTTCCAGATATCAGCCTCCAAACACCATCTGCCGAAAACAAGCGTCCAAAAGCCGTTGCTATTCCATCCTCGCCGCCTGCACATCACTCAACACAAAACCCTCCCGACAAACAGACATCCTCGAAGAACGCACCCGCTAGCGTTACACGTGAATTTATTGCCACTCCTGTAATCCCGCGACAACGCGAAAGCCTGCTGAATCCGCCAGCCCTAGGTACCCCGACAAAGGGTGGCGATTTAGCAAGCAGCATGTTAAAAGGTCGTGCGGCAGATGGTTTATTGAGCTTGATGCGCCATCAGAATTAATACTTCGCGGTAGCCGGCACCTCCAGGTCCGGATTTCATTTCCTGTCCGAGGAATGTGATTTGCATTGCTGTGTAGAAAGTTTCTTCTCGGGTTCCAGGTCAGACTATTAGGGAAGAGGGAAAGTCGACTTGTCAATTCGCAGATGGTCTTGCCTGGTCGTCAATCTCCCGGGACGCGCCTTTGGTGTTCAAGATGACGAGGCCGAGTTATCTGGTTGCTGCATGGGATGGCGTTGGGGTATTGGGCAAGGCAACGAACATGGGTTGCGTTCGCGTTCGTTTGGTGTTGGGAGGAATGACTTGGAGTAGAGAGTGGGCTTGCTGCACTAGTGCATACACAATACATATCATTGACTCACTCCCAAATTGGTATTTTTTATTTTTTGAAGCAAGCCAGGATGAAAATCGTACATCCATATATCAAATTCAGTGGAACCTTCCTCCTCTGGTGGCTAGCCAGCCGGCCAAGAAAGAAAGATACCGACAAGCCCCTTTTCCCACACCTCGCTTGTCTTTGTCTTAGCGAGCGAGGTTGTGGAGAAGGGAAGGGCGAGCCGTCATCCAAGTAGGTCACGGAGTAAACAAAGTAACACTTACCTAGGTAGTACGTAGTAGGACTTGACGTCGCACCTCTCGAAGGCCCTCCCCTCCCAGATCCCCACTCTCAAACAAACCAACCAACCAACAAGCAAGCAAGGTGTCGTCGGATCGCCGCCCATCGGGCAGCGACCGTCCATCCCTACAGCATCTTTCTTGCAATTGCGTGGTAACTGTCGGCCCAAGAGAAAAAAAAATTAAAATATTTTAGAAGAAATAAAATAAATTAATAAATAAATAGAAGAAGAAGAAGAAGAAGAAGAAGACGCTCTCTGCTTTCCGTAGGTGCAGGGGAGTCGATTCCTTCCTAATTCCTATATGCGTGGGGGGATGAATATCACGTGGAGTAGTTCGCTCTATTAGTAGTAGTAGTAGGAATTATGAATTATGAATTATACCGTAGCATTGACGAGGAAGTTGGGGGGTTTTTTTTATCCTGGGGGTGTTTGTTGTATGTGTGTATGTGTGTGTGTGTGTGTGTGCTTCGTCTATTCGATCGGTAGTTATGTGAGATGGGCGAGCGAGCTTGGGAGTGGTGTTTCAGCTGTCTGACTACCTACCGTACCATTTGTAGTACCGGTAGAACGGTATGTTGGTCGAGGGGTGGTGGGTGATGTAGGTGGGTAGGTAGGTAGCGATGTGAGTGAGGCCTGGTTTAGTGCTGGACGTTTGTTGAAGGTCTTTTGTTCTTGGGAAGTAGAGAGGTAGAGGAGTAGTTGTGTAGGTACTTACTTGGTTGTTTGTTTGATTGTTGGATGGTGTGGTGTGGTGTGGTGTGGTAATAGAATTGAATCAATTCAATGCAATCAAGAATAAATGAATAAATGAATAAATGAATAAATGAATAAATGAATAAATGAATAAATGAATAAATGAATAAATGAATAAATGAATAAATGAATAAATGAATAAATGAATAAATGAATAAATGAATAAATGAATAAATGAATAAATGAATAAATGAATAAA